AGCGGAGCGGAGCGGAGGGCGGGGCGCGGGGCTGCGGGCGCGGTAGCCGCGTGAGGCCGCCCGCAGCCCCGGGTTTTCTTGTGCCTCCGCGGCGCCGGGCCGCGCGTTTTGCCCCCCGTCCGCACGGGGCAGCTGGGGCGGGGCCGGCACGTGCGGGCATCGCCTCCACCTCCCGGCGGGACGCTGCGCCTCCGGGCCGCTCGGCGCCTTGTGTTCGTTTGCGGAGAGCCGCTCGCGCTGTGCCCGGGCCTGGCCGGCTGCGGGGCTGAGCGGCGGCGACGGCTCGGATCCTGAGCACGAAGGGAAGGGAAGGAAGGGAAGGAGCTCCTCACCTCCGCTCCGTTGCCGCCTCTGGCTGCAGGAGCTGCCCCTGCGGCCGCAGGAGTTTTCGTGGACTAGAAACTTCTGCCCCGAGGGCAGAAAGGAACGGAGCGGCCACTGCGAGGAAGCAGGAGGGAGGGCTGTGGGTTGGCCGCGCAGCCGGCGGTCGATCGCCAGCCCCAGGGCTGGGTGAGCGCAGCAGTGAGTCAGAACCCGGAGCTGCGTGTGGCAAGGAGAGCGGGCACGGAGTTGCCTTGGATTTGAAGATGCTGTGAGTGTGTGAGCTGTGGCTGCCAGGTGTGACTGACAGCCCTGTCCTCTTCCCCTGACCTTGGCTGGAGCACTTCGCTGATCCCGGCTTCCCTTTCTCTCTCTGCACCGGCCTACGCTGCTCCCCTGTCCGCCGCTGTCACTTGGGCGGGCAGCTCCCAGTGCCACTGTCATCAGCTCCGCCTGCCTTTGCTCCTGCCCTGTGCGGCCTCCTTGTTCATCCTGCTTTCCTCGTGCCTCCCCTAGCACCGAGCTGGGCACTGACAGGTTTGGCCATGGGCACCCTCATCTGTACAGGGGACAATTCACCACCACCAGTCTCACAGCTCATAGGATAGGAATGGAGAAGCCTCCCTGGAGAATGCAAGAAGCATCGTGAACTTTACTGACAGCTCAAACCCATCAGCAAGCTGGGAAAAATCCAGTTAACTGTTTTAGGAAGACAACAAAGCTCTTTGCTTCTGTGCTCTCCTGCAGTTTCTGATTTTGGCCAGACCTGGAGGAACCACTGTTCCCTGGGGTATTTCTGGTAGAGATGAAGGCAGGAGAGCTCTCCCTGGAGTACCTGACCTTGCAGGCTTGGATGGATCTGGGAAACTCTAGGATCTAATTGCTTGAGTAAATGGCTCCTTCCCACTAATGGACACTGCTCTAGCCTGGCTCATCCCCACCACAAGCCAACTGTGACACGCAGGAGTGAGCACAAGGGAGCTGCAAGTCTGCCATGCACCATGCAGCATCAGGAGCAAAGCGAGCTCGTCTTCCCCTTCAGAGCAGTGCTGTGCTGATGGTTGCCCTGCATGCCCTGTGCCCACGTTGGCCGCTCTGGCTGCTGTTGCCTGTACCCTTCCTTTGTGGTGTATCAATCTCCATTCGCCCAGGTCAACGCTGAATTTTGTGTTACTGCAGCAGCAATTGGTGTGTTGGGACTTCTTCATCCGGGAAGCCAGATGACCTTGTTCCACCAGGATCAGCCACCCCCATCCCTGTCCAGGCCGACAGCTTGGAGAGAAAGGTCTGGTCTGTGTTTGGTGCTTTGGGACCTGCTGTGTTTGCTCACAACCCGCACCAACAGCACGCCTGCTGCAGGCAGCACCAGCACGGTGGGCACTCAGGTGGGACTCAGGGATGCCCCAACCTGCATGGAGCAGAGCCTCTGACTGTCGCAGCAGCACTGCTGGCTCCTGAGCTGCACGCCGGCAGGTCTGCGGTGCTGCTGGCTCTTTGCACAGCACAGGTTTGAGCACACAGACCGCAAAGCGTCTTTGTGGGCGGAGGTGAGGAGCTGTCACTGGGAGAGGTGTTGCAGCCCATTCACTCTTCGTGCTCTCACCTCCCTCCTGTCCTCCTCGCTGCAGGCAGCAGGCCCCTCTCTGGTGCTGGAGTGTTGCTGTCATCCATGTGCTGCAGCCTCCAGAGAAGCTTCCTACAAAACATCTTTTCTTCCAGCTTTGCTGAGATTTCTTGGGTATTTTTTTTTTTTTCCCCAGCCAGCTTGTTTGTAGGAGCTGTGATTGAGTCCATTTGAATCATGAGTTTAAGGACCTGCTGCTGGCTGAACTAACGGCAGCTGAGCCTCACGTTTCCCCGGTGACTTTGGAACATTTTGGCATTGGTTTTTCCTGATGAGAGCTGGTATCTGACAGGCACCAGGGTCAGTCAAGTCCAGATGGAATGTTGCAGGACAGCAGATGTCATTAACTCTGCTCCTCTCTCTTATCACTGTTTTTTGATGTGTATTTGGGCCCTCTGCAGCATCCAGGACCTGGAGACCCAGATGGATGCATCCTCTGTGTCCTGCAAAAAAGGGAGGAGATGCTTGGGAGGACTTGGCGTCTGTGCTGAGAAGCTCTGGCAATGCAGGGGCTGTGATCTTAAGCTCACCTACTGCTTTCTAAAAGAAGTCCTGGGGAAGCCAGTCCCTGTGCCCTTCCTTTCCCAGCAGTTTGGGCACTATCTACAGGAGCAGGGGAAGCAGAAGGGATGAGATGTGGGAATGGGCCGTGGGGATGCGGCATCCTGGTGCCACTCTGGAGGAAAGGTGCCATGGGGACAATGGCCACAGCACCCTGCATCAGGCACAGCACCTGGTGCTTTTGTCGCCAGGAGGCAGGCAGTGTGAAGTCAGCCCTGCTTCAGGGAGGTGTGGTCTCGGTGCCTGACCACGGCTCCATGGCGCCATGCGGACCTCAATGGAGGCAGTGGGGATGCAGGATGGGGGAAGTGGCCACTGGCAGGTGGCTGGAGTCGTCCATGTGTGCTGGGAGGAGGGACAGGCAGCTGCTGGCTCTGCCAGGAGCTCTGCCAAAGAGTCCTGTGCACGAGCCCTAAATACAGCACAGTAACGTGGCTGAAGCTGTTCTCTGCCTGGCTGGGTGGAGGGATGGCTCTGCTGTGGTGCGGTAATTAGAAGGCATTCAGTTTGCTAGCTGGCAGCTCCAGAAAGGCTGGTGATGTTTCTGAGGAATTCCCTGCTGTGAATAGCAGCTGAGTTCCTTCCAGGGGACACGTGGGGTTCTGTGCGTAGGCGCTGTGCTGGGGTGTGCTGGCAGGGCCACAGGGTCTTCCTGCAGGGCTGGGCTGAGTCTGTGGAAGAGACTCTTTGCTCATCAGACACTTCCTGACGCCCTGCTCGTATGACGTTCAGAGAAAACAGGTCCATAACTCTCCAAACAGATGGGCCTGTGCAGTGCTAATGAGCTGCTCACCGCCTGTCGGGGGCTGGCTGTGACGCCTGGCTGCGTGGCAGTGGGCTCACCTGGTCCCTGCTCACACCAGCCCTGCGGGAGCCAAGCAGCCCTGTGGCCCCTTCCTGCATAGCCAAGGGTTGCAGGCCATGGGGAGACCATTCAGCCCAGCACAGGGAGCTCAGGGACTCTGTGCTGGCTCTGCCTGTTGGCTGCTCACACAGGCTGGCAGGAACAGACAGGTCTTGCCAGATGCTTTCTAGCCTTTGCACAGCGTGATTTCTCCTGGCTGTGACCTTCCTGGCAGCTACGCCCACAGGGAGGCTTGTGCAGCAAATTAACTTGGTCTCACCATCTCTGTGAGCGTCTGTGCATCCTCAGAAGATGCTGCTCCCCCAGAGAAGCTCGCAACAGGTCTCGCTGCCTGCGGTGACACCTGGTTGGTGCTGTGCTGGTGGCCGTGCCAGCCAAAGCCGTTCCCCA